GCCTGGAGTAGGATCAGGATCAGATACATTTGTCTCTCTGTCCTTCAGGGAGATTGTCCTTTTAATTGGTGCTGGTCCAAGGCAGGTCCACCTGGGAGGAGGCAATGAGCTCTCTGTCATGCAGTTATTACAATGCAGAGCCCCAGCCTGCACTCTGGAGCTAGGAGACGCCTTTGTGGAGCTGTGTGCCCCAGTAATTTCCTGCAGCCGCAGGTTCCACAGGTTAATCACATGCTGCAGTAAGGATTTTTCCATGAATAGAATCTCTCATCCCATGCTCATGAGTGTTACTCACACCTATCTCCTCCATCCCCCACATCATCTCTCCTCTGACTCCCCATATTTCCCCTGCTGGATAGGTTGGATCCAGCAGGTCCCAGGAACTGCTGATTTAAGAGTTCTCCCTTTATCTTGTCTGAATCACTGCTACAGGGAAACTCCCCAAGTCGGAGCAGGAGATGGGACAGAAGGGAAGAAACTTTGCATGGGGAAGTGGAGGGAGGCAGGCTTGAGGGCAGAGGAGGAGAATGATAGAGGGGCAGCATTTCTCCAATCCTGCCCCTTCCTCCTCATCCTATAACCTCCCAACATTTGATCCTCCACAACCAGCACTCCCTTCCTCTCTAGTTCCCATTCCCGCATCACCAAACATTCAATCCATTTCTACCCACCCCACAGCTCCCTCCCACTCTGACTCTCATCTCCCCCATCCTCAAACACTCAAACATCCCCCCCCCCCCAGCTCCCTTCAACCTCGGTCCCCATCCGTTTCTCTCATAGGAACCAGGGACTACCCTTTAGCTCAGTGGAGAACACCAGGAGGAGACCCACCAGGCGTCCTGGAAGAATTTGGAAGAAAAGGGGTTATGAGGACACATCCATCTCCTCACCGCCACCCCAGAAACAGATCCAGGCAACGGACGTGTTAAGAGACAGAAGGCCACTGGGTCTCAGGTCCTCTTGGGAAGGCATGATATGCCCGACATCCCTGTTCCGAGGCTCGAAGATGAGGGAGACATATCCAGAGGGCTGGGGTTCTTCATTCCTCTTCTGCTGGGCCCAGCAGTGGGAGTAGTGTGGACCGCAGGGCATGGGGAGGGAATCTTCAGCCAGGGGCAGGAAGCTACAGGAGGATGGTTCTCTCTCCCTCACCCACCTGGGGTCTGCTAGGCTGGGTGGAGTCAGAGGATCACCAATCAGCGTGGGGTCACCTGCTGATGCCCCCTGAATCCAGAGACAGACAGCTGGGTACTCATGCCTCTGATATGCACTGCAGCCAGCCCTCACCAGGGCATCTATAGGGTCTCTCTCCAGTGCAGAGTCTCTGGTGCATAACAAGGAGTGAGCTCTCACCCAAGCTTTCCCCTTCAGTCAGGTCACTTATAAGGGTGTCTCTCCAGAGTGGGTCCTCTGGTGTGTTGCAAGATCTGAGCTCCAGCCACAGCCGGGCATTTAATAATGGTTCTCTCTCTTGCACGGAATCTCTGATAGGCCATCAACTTCCCCTCCACCACCACCACAGTCAGGGCACTTACAGTCTCTGTTTGTTCTACATTGAGCAGCTAGCATGTGCTCTTGCCCCACAGAACACAGAAAAAGACACAGTCCCTGCTTTAAGGAGCTTACAACCTAAGAGACAAAGAGAACACAGCAGCTCAGATGCATAAAGCAGAGAAAGGGGGAAATTTGGCCCCAAGCCCAGAGCTTGCCAGAGGTCCAGGAACAAACTGGTGCTTGGACCTCTGGCAGGCCTTGGGCCCAGTATCTCCCCGGATGACTAGTCACTGGAGCGTCACAGAGCAGGGCAGCATTTGTTATTAACAAGTAAATAAGTCAAGCTTTTGTGGGCAGTGGACTAGCACAGCTGCACTTTGCAAGGATCTGAAGGAGAGAGGGCAGGACCCTGCTCCACCAGCATGGGGAGGTGTTCCCGGCAGCATCATGACGGAATGCTGGGCCAAATCCAGGGGGAGCTGCCAAGCACCAGTGTATCTGCAGGGTTTTTTCTAGCGCCCATCGCGGTGGTATCATTGCAGGTGCTCAGGATCACTCCAGATCTGTCCCAACATGCCCTGAAATTGAGCTAGGCGTCCAGGTCTTTTCCCCCAGAACTTCTATGAGCCTGCAAATAGTTACCTCAGCCAGTCCCTCAGCTGGTTTAATTGGCATAACTCCAGTTAAGTCAATGCAGCTCTGCCAGGTTCCAGCAGCTGAGGATCTGGCCCTAAAACTTTATTACTCCCACACTGACTGTGAATGCCAGTAAAGATCTGCATGAGAGCAGCTGCCTGTGTATCGGGTTCCCCAGGGGCTTATTCTGCCAGCACCAATTACATGAGCAGTCCTATGGGAGTCACTGGGCTTGATCCTCAGCTCTGTTGCATCAGTTTTACATCAGTGTAACTCCAGTGTGGTTACTCCTGATTTACACCAGGGTGAGCGAGAGGGGAACCTGCCCCGGGACTCCAGCTGGGTCATTCACAATATTTAACACCCACATTTGCACAGGTGTAAATAGCGCCACCAGATGGGAGAAAGGTAGTTGGCAGTCACACCCTAATCCTGCAAACACACAAACGAGACTCTGTTCACACACGGTCCCAGCCAGCTTAACGGGGTGACCCAGGTGAGTAAAGTTTACAGTCTCTGTCCGGATATCCAGACTCCATCCACCTCCGCCCCTGGCTGTTGCTCAGGTCCCTTGGAGCTGCTACTCCAACCTCTGCACGAGGGCAACAGGTAGCCCCTTTGCACTAGTTCCAGGGCACCTTCCCACAAAGAGATCAGGGACACATGCTTACTCAGTGTGGTTTCTGTCCCCCTCTAGTGATGGATCACAAAGATGTATGAGCTGCTGCAGCCTTCGGTTGAGCTATCAAAGCCAATTCTTTTAGCTCAGGCAGCACAGCTTTCAGTTCATGCTTTGAGATCCAGAGGTCCAGGGTTCCAGCTGCTGACATCTCATCCAGGGGCCTCATGTTACAACCTGCATGCCTGCAGGGTTGCTGAGCTCAGTGACTCCACATGGGGGGTTCTCCATATCAGGGATGAATTTCACCCCACGTGTGTGAGCGTTTGCAGGGTTTAGGCTATATCAGCATCTGCAGTTTCACTGGACACCGATGCCTGGATGCCTTCGGATCATCAGCTGCGCACCTGATTCCTCTCATTTATTGTTTCCTCCTTTCCACATTGTCTATTGTTTTGTTTCGGTTGTTTTTATATGTTTCGAACCATTGCCTAAAATATTCTCTATTAGTTTTAAAAATTATTTTTATCCCTTTCTCTGTTTTTATCTTTAACCTTTGCCTTGTTTTTATTTCTTTTAATACACATTTTCTTTAACTTTCCTCTTCTTGTTGTACGTAATCAGAGTTTAAGGCGAGAAGGGACGACTGGATAATCTAGTCTGACCTCCTGTACATCACGGGCCACCAGCACCCACACGCTAAACCCAACAAAGGCTTTCCTATTTTTGTATAACTTTTTAACCTTTTACGGTTTCCTTTTTTTTTTTAATCTATTTTCTTATACTCTTAAACATTTCAAATTTTATTTTTAATACCATCCAATTCTGGTTTTTATTTCTATTTTCAACCTTTCATTTACTTTTAATTTTTAACCCCTTGCAATTCCTTTAATATTTAAATCCTTTCCTAATTTATTTTAATTTTAACCATTTACAGTTATATGTTTTTCAACTCTTCCCTATTTTCTTTTTAAAAACTTTCTTATTTTCTATGTTTTAGGTTTTTTCCTTTAACCCTTGTTTTCTTCTTTTTTGATTTTCTTTTAACTCTTTAGCATTTTTCACAGTTGTGTTTAACCCTATCCTTTTCCACTGGTTTTCCAGAAATGTCTTTTAACTCTTTGCACTTTTCTTGAATTATTACGATTATTCATAGACTTTAATTATTGAGTTTATTCATTTAGGCCCTTAGCCTGCAAACACCGCTGCTCATGCTTAGCTTTATGCACTGTGAGTCGCCCTGCTGATTTCAATGGGACTGTATCAATTAAGCATGTGCTTATGTGTTTCAGGATTGGGGCTTTAACCCTTTCCTACTTTCTTGTTTAACTTGTATCCAATGCCCGGATACGCCCCTCCGTTCCCTCCTTATTACACCTTCCCATAAGGGACACAATGGAGAAAATGGGATACGGCCTCTCAGCTAGCGTAACCTGGTGTTGGCCCCAATGATGCAGATTTGCACTAACTCAGGCTCTGGCCCAACAGCTGAAGGCCACACTGGGCATGATTAGGCAGGGGGATGTAGGCAGGAAGATGGAGCAAGGGGGTGGGGCACAGGAGGAGATAAGATCCGGGATGCAGGCTGGAGCAGCCTCATGCAGCCTTGGAGGGGAGGATGAGGGACCCAGCTCAGCAAAGCATTTGAGTACGTGCTTGAGTCCCAACAAAATCAATGCTGAAATGGGACAGACTGCGGGATCGGATGCGAGGGGTACAATACTGCTACAGGAAGAAGCGGGGATGGGAATCTGGGAGGCGGGTGGTATAGTTGGAGCAGAGAGCAAGGAAGATGGTCAGCATGGACGTGAAGTGGGAAGCAAGGAGGCTGGAGGGCAGCTGGATGCAGTGGTCACGTTGAGACATGGCCAAAGCATGGGCCAGGGAGCAGTGGGAAAGAAAAGGAGATGCTGTAAGAGGAAGAACGTTTGGGAGCTGGGGACAGCCAGGATAGGGTAGAAGGGAATGGAGAGATTGGAGTCTGCAATAATTCTGAGGGGGTGACTCTGGGCAGTCAGGACGACAGTGGAATTGCCAACAGAGGCAGAGAAACAGGGTAAGGATGGAGTGGGAGGGAAGTCAGGGAGCTGGGATCCTGCTGTGCTGGAGTGAACGCTGGAAGGCTGATGGAAGGAATACAGATTCTCTACACTTGAAATGCTACAGCAGTGCAGCTACAACACTTCAGTGTAGACACAACATGCGCTGACAGGAGGGGTTCTCCCTTCGGTGTAGGCAATCCACCTCCCTGAGAGATGGTAGCTAGGTCAATGGAAGAATTCTTCCATTAACCTAGTGCTGTCTACACTGGGAGTTAGGTCGGCTTAACTACGTCGCTCCGGGGTGTGGATTTTTCATAGTCTTGAGCAACGTAGCTGGGTTGATCTAACTTTTTAGTATAGGAGAGAACTAGAGAAAAGGAAATCAAGAGCTGAAAGGAGATCGGGACAGGTCAAAGGACGAGCAAACTGAACTGGGGTTCAGAAGAGAGTTGGGGCAGCATGGGTGGGGGACAGAAAGTCAAGGGGCAGATGACTACTACCAGATGGCATTGATTTCTTTCCCTTGTCTGAAGTACTTAGCAAAGTTCTGGATGGAGAGAGAGAGAGAGGAGAAGGCAGGTGGAATATTGATCAGGACTGAAAGCAGAGGCAGGTCAAGAGGCTTTCAATGGAGCTGACAGAATTTTTTCATTGTGAATAATATTTGTTTTGATTTTAGCTTTCTTCTGTGAGTGGGTTGTTTACAAACCAATCCTGGTTCCTACAATAGATTTATGGAGCCAGTTCTTTAGCTGGCATAAACTGATACAGCTCCATTATTTACCCCAACAAAGACTAGCTGAACACCAGCGCCAATGATTTGTAAATATCAGCAGAATAACCTACGTGAACAATTTATATTGTATGGATTGTTTGCCAGTGGCATAATTTGACTATACATTACTTTTATGTGTGTCTTTTGTGCCATTGGTCACCTAAATCACTTGGTATTGTTTCTGCTTCCTGATTAGGTGAGTGAAACTTTTGTAAACAGGGATATCACACTTTCCAGTGCATATCTTCGAACAAACACATATGAATATGGGCATAAGCTTTTGTGGGTAAAAAAGCTCACTTCTTTAGATGCATCCCATGAAAGCTTATGCCCAAATAAATCTGTTAGTCTTTAAGGAGCCTCCTTGTTGTTTTTGTGGATACAGACTAACACGGCTACCCCAGATACATATGAATATGAAAATTTGTGGAAAAGTTCTGGATTTGTGAACATTTTCACAAATAAGTTGCAGGCACTCCAATTAATAAAACTGTCTGAAACTTTTCTTTAACTGTGAACATTTCAAAAGTATTTTTGTTCCTTTGTTTTTAATAATTGGTATTGAATTTTCATTTTTTCTAAATTTTCAGAATTTTTTCATAGATTAGTCTTCATTTTTGAAAATCTTAATTTTAGCAAATGGAATGTTTGAATCTGAAATGAAAAAATTTTGACAATGAAAGATTTGTTTTGATTTTGAATAATTACCAGCATTTTACTAAGCCCACCAATCAAAATTGGCAATGGAAATAAAACAAAATGGAAACCTAAAATGACATGAAAAAGTGAAAAAAAAACAAAACACCTCACCTCAAAGAACAAGAGGCTAAAATATTTGCAACATTTCTGTAAAAAACAAAATTGAAAAATTTGAAAAAAACAAAAACCCAAATGATTTTGCAAAACTGTTCATTTTTGAAAAAGGACATGTTTTGTCAAAAAATATTTTCTTAAAAAAAAAAAAAACTAGAACAGCTCTACTTGTGAATAACAGTAACAAAATAATATGATCCCACAAAGGGGAACAAAATAGACTTATCCCATTTGAACACGAACATATTCACAAATCACTTTCCCTGTTGTTCATCTAGCTCTAGGCTATAATCAGGGAGAAATAAGCACTGTATGGTACCTAGATCGAGGGATGGGTGATGGGCAGAGTTAGACAAGGAAGATGGTAGAACAGAATGAGTATTAACCTTCAGTGGAGGAAATATGCATCATCATAGGATATTCTCCAGAGACCCCCTATAGCAAGGAAGTTGGAATAGAAGCATAAGCCAGGGCATGGTGATATAGACAAGAAAGGATGGAGGTGCGAGGGATTCCATGGCTAATGGATTGTAAATAATGAATCTCACACTTCTCGGTGTGAATTTGTAGTGAGATGAGGAAGGGGCTGAGAACATCAAGGAAGGCACAGAAGGGAGATCATGGGAGGAACATCAAGCTGGGCAGGTGGTATGCGGGAAGAGGGCTGTATAGAAAGAGGTGACTTGATTACTGAGGAATAAGAACTCAGAGTCCAAGAGGGGCCAGAAATGGAACTGGGTGCGGTGAGGAGCAGGTCAAGAGAGAGTCAAGGAAACTGATCCAGCACTGCAAGTCAGATGAGCACGTTGGGGACAGGAAGCAAGTTGCAGTTGTGTTAGATGGGACACCAGCACGGAAGCTGGAGGCACCGAGAAGGGAGGGGAAGTGGGAGGAGCCAGACGTGTGAAGGGAAAGGAGAGGGGAGAGAAGAAGAAGAGGTGGATGGTGTGAATTTTGGAGGAGGAGAAGGAATAGGGAAGGAGGAAAGAGCAGGAGAAGCCAACTGCACAGTCTTGGGAGCAGGGAGAGTGAAAGGGGTGGCAAAAGGCAAGGCAGAGGGGGGAAGATATGGAGGTGGTGAAGAGGGAGGCAGGTGAGAATTAGGGGGAGCGAGGGGGAACAGAGAGGCTGTGGGGGGCGGTTAGTTTATCAGTGATGAGGCCGGGGCCCCGGACGGAGCAGGCGAGGGGAAGGAAGGGTGGGGGAAGGCACGGGATGGGAAGGACAGGGCCCAGGGCAGATCCAGCGGGTTGTTGGAGAGGGCGGGGATGGAGATGGGTGAGGGTGAGGAAGGGAAAGAGGGTAGAGTGGGGAGGGGGGCGGAGGAGGTGCCCAGCGGGGAGGAGAAGGAGGCAGAGGAGAAGGCGGAGGAGGCCTGCAGGGGGTTGCTAGCGGTGGCAGCAGCGGAGTTCTTGGTGGCGGAGAGCAGCGAGGGCTTGTCGCCAGTGTGGGTGCGCTGGTGCCGGTTAAGGTGGGAGCTGCGGCTGAAGCACTTCCCACACTCAGGGCACTTGTAGGGCTTCTCGCCGGTGTGCACGCGCTGGTGGATGGTGAGTTCCGAGCGCTGGATGAAGCTCTTGCCACACTCGGAGCACTGGTAGGGCTTCTCACCCAGATGGATACGCTGGTGCTTGATGAGGTTGGAGCTGACACTGAAGCACTTCCCGCAGACGTTGCACTTGTAGGGCTTCTCCCCAGTGTGCATGCGCCGGTGCTTGGTCAGGTCCGACTTCTGGATGAAGCCTTTGCCGCAGTCAGGGCACTTGTAGGGCTTCTCGCCCAGGTGGGTGCGCTGGTGCTTGATGAGGTTGGAGCGGACGCTGAAGCTCTTCCCGCAGTCCCCGCACTTGTAGGGCTTCTCGCCGGTGTGCATGCGCCGGTGCTTCACCAGGGCCGAGTTCTGCCCAAAGCTCTTGCCGCACTCAGGGCAGGTGTAGGGCTTCTCGCCCGTCTGCGTGCCCTGGTGCTTGACGTTCTCTGCCCGGTAGGTGAAGCTCTTCCCGCATTCCGTGCATTTGTGGGTCCTCTCCGCCACGGGGGAAGGCCTGGCGCGGGAGCCCCACAGGAAGCTCTTCCCGCAGTCAGTGCACTTGCAGGGACGCTCTCCGCTCAGCACACGGCGCCGCTTGGCGCTGGCCAGGAAGCTCTTCCCGCAGTCAGTGCACTGGCAGGGCTGCTCTGAGCCCAGGTGCACCCGCTGGTGCCGCTCCAGGTGGGAGCTCTGCGAGAAGCTCTTGCCGCAGTCCCCGCAGCGGTAGGGCTTCTCGCCCATGTGGATGCGCCGGTGCCGGTCCAGGTGGGAACTCCAGGCGAAGCTCTTGCCGCAGTCGCCGCACTGGTAGGGCTTGCCAGCCGCGTGGCTCCGCTGGTGCTGCAGCAGGGAGGCGCTCAGCCCGAAGCTCTTGCCACACTCCTCGCACTTGTAGGGCTTGTCGCCCGTGTGGGAACGCCGGTGCTTGGCCAATGTGGCACTCTTGTTGAAGCCCTTGCCACATTCGGGGCACTGGTAGGGCTTCTCGGCGGCGGCGGCAGCTCCTCCTCCTGCTCCGCGCTGGGGCTTGGTGCCATTGGGGCCAACGCAGCGACCGCAGTCAGTGCACTTGCAGGCCTTCTCCCCGCCCAAGTGGGTGCGGCGGTGGCGGTCCAGGTGGGAGCTCCAGCTGAAGCTCTTCCCACATTCGGGGCAGGTGTAGGGCTTCTCGCCGGTGTGGATGCGCCGGTGGCGCTCCAAGTGCGAGTTCCAGTTAAAGCCCTTGCCACACTCATCGCACTTGTAAGGCTTCTCTTCCAGGTGCAGCTTCTGGTGCTTGACCAGGCTGGTGCTGGCACTGAAGCTTTTGCCGCAGACGTTGCACTGGCAGGGCTTGACGCCGCCAGTGTGGACCCGCTGGTGCTGGATGAAGGCCGAGCCCACACTGAAGCTCTTGCCGCAGTCGGCACACTTGTAGGGCTTCTCGCTGGCATGGCGACGCTGGTGGGTGATGAGAGTGGAGCTGAGCCGGAAGCACTTGCCGCACTCGTTGCACTTGTAGGGCTTCTCGGCGCTGCGCAGCCGTGGGCGCTTGTTGAAGCCCGAGCCGAAGCCCAGGCTCTTGCCGCAGTCATGGCACCGGCTGTGCCCCAGCAGGCTCCGCTGGTGGAACTTCTTGAAACCACGGTGAGCGGATTTGCCCTGCCTCTTGCCTGAGGGCTTCCTTGGCTGTCCTTCTACTTTCTGCGGGCCCTCGCTGGCCTTCCCCACATCAGCGCTCTGGGGAGCGCTCCCCTTGGACTTGCCCGGCATCGTCCCTTGGGCATCCACCTTCTCAAGGCCTCCCTGCTGAGCATCCTCCTCCTCATTCTCACTCACCATCCCATCATCTGCTGGAACAACGAGAGAATCCAGTAACTCCCTGGGTCTAGGAAAGGAAACTTTGGAGAAGGGAATTGGAGAGGGTCTGTCACATATTCAAATACCCATCAACACAATGGAAAAAATCAGGAGCCGGCTCTGCCAGACTGCTCCCGTCACCCCTTCCCCTCCCTGGCAGCCTCCCTCTTCCCCCACCCCCCCCCAGCTCCCACCCACTGCTTCCCCTCACCTAGCCACCCACCTCACAACATGTAACGAGAAACCCTTTTGAGAAACAGGGGCCAGATTCTCACAGCTTTACTGAGTAGCACTGTATGCTGTGAACAGTCCCATTAACATCTATGAAGTCAAGACCAGAATGGCCCATTAAATCAGAGAGTCATAGATTCCAAGGCCAGAATGGACCATTTGTGATCATCTAGGTTAACCTCCTGTAGAACACAGGCCAGAGAACTTCCCCAAGATACTTCCTAGAGCAGACCTTTTAGAAAAGCACCCAGTCTTGATTCAAAAATTGTCAGTGATGGAGAATCCACTGCAATCCTTGGTAAATTGTTCCAATGGCTAATTACTCTGACTGTTAAAAATGTATACCTTATTTCCAGTTTGAATCTGTCTAGCTTCATCTCCCATCCACTGGATCATGTTAGACCTTTCTCTGCTACACTGAAGAGCCTGTTATTAAATATGTTCCCCATGTAGGTACTTGTAGTCTGATGAAGTCACCCCTTAACCTTCTCTTTGTTAAGCTAAATAGATTGAGCTCCTTGAGTCTATCACCAGCAGGCAGGTTTTCTAATCCTTTGATCATTCTTGCGGCTCTTCTCTGAACCCTCTCCAATTTATCAACTTCTTTCTTGAATCGTGGGCACCAGAACTGGACACAATATTCCAGTGGTGTTTGCACCAGTGCCAAATACAGAGATAAAATAACCTCTCTACTCCTACTCAAGATTCCCCTGTTTATGCATCCAAGGATGCATTAGCCCTTTTGGCCACAGCTTCGCACTTGGAACTCATGTTCAGCTGATTACCCACCATGACCCCCAAGTTCTTTTCAAAGTCACTACTTCCCAGGATTGAGTCCCCCATCGTGTAAGCATGGCCTGCATTCTTTGTTCCTAGATGTATACACTTACATTTAGCCATATTATAACACATAGTTTGCTTGCGCATAGATTCATAGATGTTAAGGCCAGAAGGGCCCATTAAATCATCTAGTCTGACCTCCTGTATAATTCCACCCAATTACTGAATCCAATAACAATTTCACTGGGATCGCTCATGGAGTAAGGTACCATTCAATATAAGTGTATCATAATCTAAATTCCTCCCCGTTCCCAAATTCCTGCCACCCAAACTAGCTAGCAGCCCCACTCCTCACCAAAAGCACTGATTAAAGCACATCTGGAGTTTTTATGTCCAGTGATTTTGGATTCACAGGGCTTAACACCAGAAGGGACCATTGTGATCATCTAGTCTAAACTCTCGTAATACAGGCTGGAGGATTTCACCAAGTGATTGCTATGTCTGGCCTAATCATATATGATGAGATAAATCAAGGGTAGAAAAACGTTAAAGGACTGAGATCACTTCATTTTCTGAATCAGATTGCCCCAATGATTTACCATTTTTGTCTCAGATTGTCCAGAGATTTTTCTACTTGGGCATAAGATCACTTGTATGAAATTCCAGAAGGATCGGTTTAGTCCAGGTGAAGTTAGAGAGAGGGACTAAAATAAGGCTCATTTTACTGAGGCGAGACTCCCTCCATTGTTAAGTTTGCAACCAACTTGTATTGTAAGTAGAAAATTCCACAGGAAATTGTGAAAATGAAATATGGAACTATTGTGGAATGGAATGGGATGAGGAACAACTTCCAATTTGCTGAAATCCCCCCCACTTTCTGGACAGCTCTGGTTGAGCTGTGTGATTTTACTGGGCACAAACAAACCTTAGCCCCTTTCCAAAATTTTCTAAAGGAGCCATTTTTCGTTTTTTTCCTGTCAGAAAGTACTTACGAAATATTTCAGGAATGCACTGCATGCCAAGGAGAATTAACTTGAATCGTGTGGAAGCACAAGGAATTTTGATTTATGAGAGGGATCAAAATCACCCTTAGCAATGCGACTGTGGTTGCAACCTTTCCTATGAAGAGACTGTCCTCTTTTCCATAGTTAAACACACCCCAACCGAACCATGGTGAGAACCCCAGCTCCAGAGGTCTACAAACACAGGCATGTTAAGCATAAAGGAAGAATCCTGCTACATACAAAAATACCTTTGTTTCCTTTGTAAACTTAAATCAGGTGATAGAGGGTAGTATTCTAGCACACAAACACAGACCCTGATCTTGCAAACATGTATGCACTTGCTTAACTTTAAGCACTTGAGTAGCCCCACCACAGAAATAAAGCACAAGGCTAATTGTTTGCAGAGAAACAGCCGTAGCACTTAATCTCACTCACCAAAATCAATGGCAAAAACCTCCCCATAATGTTAATGAGAGCAGGACTGAGCCTCTCACTGTTGACAACAGAAACCCTCAGTTCTTGAAAGGCAGCATGATGTGGTGCAAGAGGCACAGAACAGGCAGGAAGGGCTCTCCTGGGTTCTAGTCCTAGCTCTGTGACCCGGCGGTGAGTCACTGCACCTCTTTCCCCTCCCAACCTTTATCTGTTGCCAACTCCTGGTCTAAACCTTTCAGAAGTGGTGTGCTGAGTCTTCATTTATTCACTCTAATGTAAGGTTTCGCGTGCCAGTCATACATTTTAACGTTTTTAGAAGGTCTCTTTCTATAAGTCTATAATATATAACTAAACTATTGTTGTATGTAAAGTAAATAAGGTTTTTAAAATGTTTAAGAAGCTTCATTTAAAATTAAATTAAAATGCAGAGCCCCCGGAGCGGTGGCCAGGACCCGGGCAGTGTGAGTGCCACTGAAAATCAGCTCGCGTGCCACCTTTGGCACACGTGCCATAGGTTGCCTACCCCTGGTTTAGACTGTAGGTGTCTCTCACTATGGAATGTCTCCACGGCAGCTGGAAGTGTGACAGCAGCTCAAGTAGACATACTTTAATCTCTGGCTTTAATCTCACCCACGTGGCTAAAAATAACAGTGAAGACACAGCAGCATGGGTTTTACAAGCAACGTACTGGTGTTGCTAATCCACACTGGGGTCTGAGCTGACCTGGCTTTACTACTATTTTTAGCCATGCTAGCTAGGTTAAAGCTAGTGCAAGTATGCTACCTGTACTGCAGTCGCAACTCTGATTGCAATGTGTGTGTATACAGCACCTGACACAATGTGGCCCTCTTCTCAGTTGGTAAAACATATTGTATCCCTATTTTCCACCAGGCATGGAGAACCAGCAGCCCAGAAGTTAATTTAAATGTACCACTAACAGGCTCTGATCTCACAGCAGATTCAGGCATGTCTTGTCATAACAGAGAGACAAGGTGGGCGAGGTAATATCTTGTATTGGATCAACTTCTGTTAGTGAAAGAGACAAGCTTTTGAGTTTTCACAGACCTGAAGAAAATCTCTGTGTAGTTCAAAAGCTTGTCTCTCTCTCTCCAACAGAAGTCGGTCCAGTAAAATATATCACCGCCCCCACCTTGTCTCTCCAATATCCTGGGACCCACACGACTACAACAACACTATTATGATAAACTAAGCTCAACTTCAAAGAAGAGCTAGCAGAGCCGTGTCCCGTTTGAGGCCTGTGGCTGCTGGATTTTATCCATATGGGGTGAAATCCACCCCCATGCTGAGGAAGAGCACATCATAGCCATGCCACCCTCGAGTGGTGCCTAGGTTTCGGAATGGCCCTCCATCCAGGGGTGCATAGGGCTCTGAGAGGGAAAGGAGCAGCAGCTGGCACAGCCCCATGGACTCTGCCAGAGTGGCTCATCTGCACTGTAACAAAGCAGCAGGATGAACTGGTTACAGAAAGAGAGCCATGTGCCAGCTGAGGCCTCTGGCAATAACGACAGGCTGCAGCTACCACGGTTACTGTGTGGCGAGAGCACAAACTGAGCCCGTCACAGGGTACTCACAAACCCAGCTGATGGGGGCAGCGCGGACAGAGTGCAAGAGGCAGGATTGTGAAGTGACACAGAGCATGAGGCTCGCCTCCAGCAACAGCCTAACCCAGGGGAATTCTGCCCTGCCCTGGCCAAGTCCAGCATGTGTAGAGCAGGTAACAGGAATAGAGAAAGAAGGGCAACAGGAAGGCTGGCATTGTAATCATAGCCTAACCTTCAGGAGATCTAGATTCAAGTGCCAGCTCTGTCACGGACTTGCTCACTGCCCCTGGCCAAGGCTCTTCATCTCTCTGGCCTTCAGCTCCCCACCAATAATGATACCCCTTTTGTGGGTCTTCACTGAGACTGTAAGACCTTTAGGATAGAAACTGTGTCTCTGCAGTGACCAGCACAAAGAAGCTCTGATATTGGATGGGATGTCTAGGCAATAATGGCCTATAAATAGTTTTTAACAGTGGCAGTTTGTAGCCTAAACCACAAAGCAATAGTGAAAGTCCAGATATGTGCAGGCCTTAGAAAGCTAGATGGAGCCATAAAAGGAGAAAGGTTTGTTGCCCTGCCATGGGTAAGATCCCGTAAATGAAGTCCCACACTATCTTCCCAGTGCATCTTAACAAAGGCTATGTCTATACTACAGACTTCCGCTGGCATTGCTATGACGGTCAGGGGCGTGAAGAGGTGTGATCCTTGACCAGCAGGGCTGTGCTGGCAGAAGTATGTCGTGTGGACACAGCTACACAAGCAAAAGCGCGGTTTTACTGGTATTACTTGTTTTCGCTCATGAGGGGTGGGCAGCACATATCTTAGCCAGGATAGCTGGGTCCACATTAGGAGCACTTTGCAAATATAGGACATCCATATTCCTACACTGGTAACGCTCATCTAGTATAGGCATAGCCAAAGGGTTAACAAAGTCAGCGCAAAGGTAGAAATAGAGCTATAAGAAGAATTCAGAGACAGGACTGCCTTCTGTAATCACACCGGACTCAGATGGACAAGGAACGTGGAGCAGGAAGTCTGGGCAGATGGGTTAACGCATTTCATTGTAGCGACGATACAGAAAGGCAAAGAGCCAAGGAGAGGGATGTGAATACTTGCAAAACAGCAAATCAGAACCTATCTGCAAACAAAGGGGAGATGACAGCTTGCAAAACAATCTTCAGCCAGATCCTCAGCTGGTGTAAATTGGCAAAGCGCCACTGACTTCAAATTAAAGTTTGGCTTCAGCGGAGCTAAAGCGATGTGCACCAGCTGGGGTGCTGGCAGAGCTAAGCCATCATTTGCAGACATATTTTCCAGTGAGGGAGTTTGTTCAGGTCTATTAGAAACTGCAGACTATGTGGGACGCTGAAGCGCACCAACCAAGACACGTTACTATGCTAGCTTATTTTCAGAGCTATTCCAGCTTTGTTCACCTTTGCGCAAGGAAGACACAGTGTTTCAGTGAATTAAAAATTGTAAGAGAGAATTTCAGAGCAGAATGTGTTAGTTGAATGGAAATGTACTTATCTCAAAAGAAAAACACTTTATTTAGCAGAGTGTGTCTCAACCTTGCTGATACCAGGGACTGGCTTGCTGCCTTCCTAAACTGTGTCAGGGAGATCTCAGGGACTGGCACCTGTCCACGGACCAGTCGCTGAAAAACACTGATTTCACACACAGGTGAAGCTGCAGAATGACTTGCTCTGCCTAGCACATGTGAAAATCTCATCTATTAAAAAGGAAAAACAAACAAACAAAAAAATACCTGACTCACCCCAAAGTATCTAAGAATGTCAGAAAAATGGTGTGTTTCACTGTATTTGATGAGAAATAGCAAGTTAAAGACTGGATTGCAGTGTGTTTGCACAAAGGGAACAGAGGGACGGCTGCATGATCAACCTTCACATGGGCAATTCCTGACTTTCGAGTACTTAGCACACCATTAAAGTGATCCATGAAAACAACCCCAAGAGGGCTCATGTTTATGGTGTCTGATTTCTCAGCTGAAATCTGTTGAGCTAAAGTTATTAAAAATTAGTTCAAGGCCCCATGGCGCCCAGTGCTGCACATATACATAGTAAGAGACTTGGCCCACCGAGCTCACTGCTGCAATGCACAAGACAAAGCGGGAGAGGGGAAAGAGAGATAGAGAGGGAAGAGATTTGCTCAAAGTCACCCCAAAGGTCAGTGGCAGAGCCCAGATTAAACTTAATTCTTCTGTGTGCTCTAACCATTAGACCATGCTAGTCATATTATGTATTTTTTCTTAATGCTTAGCTGGATAAAGTGAGCCTGCAGTCTGAAAACCAAGCTTTTTTTCCATTGCCTTACACCTCACCAACAACAATGTATGTGCAATCAGAATTTAATTCACAAGGCTGTTGATCATGGGTGAGCTAGAGCTAGGTTGGCTCAGGGCTAGCAGGAATAAAGAACAATAGCACCGTACAAGGCCTCAGTCCTGTAGTGAGGTCCATGCAGGGGTAAAAAGCAGTAAGAACTTACTTACGTGAAGCCAGCAGCTCTGGCTTACGCACACAAGGAGCAGGGCTGTTGAGGAAGGTGGTCACTTTTCAGACTAGGGCCCCATTCTAGTGTAGTATGAATGCTGTTGGGGTTGCATCTGCTGAGGTTGCATCTGGACAGATTCATCGGTAACTTCCTGGCTTCTACTCAGTGCAATGCAGTTCTAAGCTGGCATAACCAGCACCTTTGTTTCTGGCTGATTTGTGTCACCAGAATAGCCCAAAGCAACGAGAGCCTGCTAGTGAATCCCAGCCCTACATTTACAGACTATTACAGGTCAATTGCAAAGGAAAAATAATTGCCTAGCAACCTTTGCATATTAGTCTGTGTGTGGTTAAAGATTTATTTAAAAACACTTTTCTTCTGCCTTTCCTTGTTCTTTGCAGTTTGCATTTTTGACACGTGCTTTGCCCTCTGCAGCTCAGCAAGCCTCATATGGGCCCCAATTCTGCCTCAGATCCATGCTGCTGGATCCTTTTACCTGTGCCCCTGTTCACCCGTTTGCAGGATCAGGGTCTTGGAGTGAGACTAGTGCGACAGATAGGTGTCTTGGTGAGCTGTGACCTAAGCTCCTGCTAGTCCATCCATTCCCCCCGCCCCCATTCCTTGTGCTGCTGGCCCTCTGTGGAGTGGGGAATTTCACCTGCCGTACCCCCCAGCACTCCACCTCACCTCTCCCCCCGCCCAAAGTAGCGAGGGTCTCAGCCAGAGGGGTGGGGGCAGAGTCCAGGATAGCAAAGCACTGCAATCTCTGACTGCCTCACCCACAGCGACTTACCAGAGACCAATCCTCTCCTCCTGTGCGACTCGGCAAACGCGGTTATCCGGGGCCAGCTGATCGCAATCTCCTCCGCTAGGCGAAACATGGATTGGACACGAGTTAGTTGTGTGGCAGGGTAGGCGCGGGTGCCATCTGGAAAGCAGCCACCCTCTCCCCTCCAGCCCCCAGTATCAACAAAACACCTCAGTCTCTCCCAGTGTCTGTCTGGGGCACAACGGTGTAGTCTCCTGAGGTCCCAAATGCTTTGGTTTCAGGACAGTTGTTGGGCTCAAGGCTGGGGTAACTGGGTGAAACTGAATGGCCTGGGTTATGCAGGAAGGCAGACTGGATGGTCTAATGGCTGCTTCTGGCCTTATGCTCTATGAACACATACCCAACATTCCTCAGCAAAACCAACTTTTGAGCCAGTGCACAGAAGTTGGCAAATCAGAACCACAGCTCCACAAAGGGCCAAACTGAACCACCTGCACCCGCCTGGGATCTTCCAAGCAACCTGACAGTCGGGAGCCCAAACCCCATTCAATATCAATGGGATATGGTCCCATGAGCCTAAGAGCCCTTCAATGCCAACAGGTCAAGGAGGTTACAAGAATATCCTGCATCTTGGCAGCGGGTTAGACTAGATGACCCTTGTGGTCCCTTCTAGCCCTATGGGTCTATTATTCTAATATCCTGATACATACATTCTGGTTCACCGAAGAACGTCATGTAGGATCTCAAATGAAAGCCACAATCACTCTGGTCATTAATATCATTGTGAAATGTGCGTACAGACTCTATGTATAGACTTATGGATGTGTAAAGAAAATATGTTCCTAGAACCTGTATCAAGGGTGGGTCGACAAACAGGTTTCTGCCAGACCAAGGATGGATATTCACCCCTGTATCCCTCGTTCACGCGTAAATCAAGCGTTGCAAGCCAACACAATGGAAGTGCCATTTACAAACAAAGTCAACAGGAGACACAAGACCAGAAAATGAACTCCAGGGGGTTGTCCTGTCTATGGGGCAGACAATGAATTTTGGGGAACATAAGAGGAAGGCAAGGAGACACACTCCTTAATCCTGCACCTAGAAAGTTAATGGGCAGCACATTTACTTTCATAAAAACAGGATGCCAACTGGACTTGGTTGGAAACCCTGCAGGAGGCTTTGGGTGAGATAAGACTGCTCTGGACAGGAGGTTAGCCTCTTAAGTTTAGTCTCTAGAAAGCGCCTATAGATTTTGTTTTATATGTAACCCTTCTGTTTCCGTTATACTGACTCACTATCTCTCGAATCTTGGTCTTTGATAAAAAATGTACTGTTGTTTTCATTATAAATATATCTCAGTACACAGTGTCATCCAAGGAGCTGATCCTGAGTTGAATCGTTCAAGCTGGTCCTTTGGGGACAGTCAACCTAGGATTTCTGTGAGGGAACAAGGGGCTGGACACTGCAGGGGGATGCATCAAAGGGACTTGGGAATGGGGGTACACTGATTGTTACCCTGCCAGGTGAAGTAAGGGCTGGCACAGTCCGGAGGAGATTGTTTGGGTGGCTAACAGGTGGGGGGGTGTCAGGGAGCTGACAACCAGCTGAGCACCAGCAAGTCTCCCTCTCGCTGGAGGCAGGCCATCAGGGGCAGATTTTAAAAGGTATTTAGATGTCTAAACCCATTTAAAAATCTGGCCTTAGCCTCCTTAGAAAAATCACAGCCCGTGAGTAAGCCTTGTTTCCCTGGCTTTGGCAGGCGAGATTGTAACTTTAGGCCTAGCCCTGACCACAGTGTCATGCCAGCCCAGGGATTGCACCTCAGACACACCCTTCTGAGTCACAATTCCTCCCCTGTTTGCTCCTGGAGGGGGGAGTAATTTACAGCTAGCCTAGAGCAGCAATCAATTACTACCCCACCCCATGCTGGCTCAGCGAGCAGCCAGGTGATGGAGCCAGGGCTACACCCATCGCCTGCTTGAGAGAGGGAATCAATAGGCAGGTAGCCCATCAATTCCTCTGAGCTCATAGAGTAGTGCGAGGGGGTCTGTCATTCCTTTGCACAGGCGTCATCTAATCCATTGGGCCTGCTAGTGGAGAATGCCCTCGTCCCACCCACACTTGTGCACATGTTTAACTCTACGCATTAGACACATGAGAAACATTAAGCACATAGGCCTGGTCTACACCTACAAAATTAGATCAAGATTGCTCATGGTGGGAAAAATGTTGTGCTCTGTGCAACATCGCTAGGTCAACCTACCCCTTGGTGTAGATGCAGCTGGGTTGACCTAGCCACTGCCTTGTGGGGAGGAGGATTAGCTACAGCAACAGGAGAACTCCCTTCTGATCCCTTCTAATCATCTTGTCTGACCTGCATAACACAGGCAGGGGACCCTCCCCCAAAAGTTCCCACCAGAGCAGATGACTTCTGGTGGAGCAAGTCGGTGTAAGGTCTTGTCTATACTAGAAAGTTGTACCACTGTATCTTTACCAGTGTAGGGTGACCAGATGTCCCAATTTTATAGGGACAGTCCCGATTTTTGAGTCTTTTTCTTATATAGGCTCCTATTACTCCCCACCCCCTGTCCCGATTTTTCACATTTGCTGTCTGGTCACCCTAAGTTAAAGCAGTACAATACTCCTTAGTGTGGACACAGTATTATGGGGCTAAAGGTGCATATTACTGGTACAGTTTATTCACGTACAGGAAGGGGAATAAGCTATCCTGGTATAAAGCACCTTTATAGCCACATAACTGCGTAAACACTACTATAATCATATTAGTAAATAAATACCGTCCCTGAGTGAAGCAGCCAAAGCAGGGCTACGATTGGGGAAGGGGATAAAATGTGGCTCAGCACCCCCTGGACCCAGAACTGTGCAGAGGGACCCCCCCCACACACGGACAAACTCTGGGGGCCATAGGACCCAGGTGGTGCCTCCCCTCCCCCCTGCCATGTGACCTTTAGGGAAAACTGCAGAGAGGAGCCAGCCAGAGACTCTAGTCACAGCAGTGACCTTTGGACATTCAGGGAACTGACTGCAGCTTTGACTGGACTTCCTCTGCCCTGTGCGAGACTCTGATCCAAACACTTCCCCCACCCCCCTCCCGCATCTTCACTGTCTCTTCACCGGCTTCACTCCACACCTGCCCTGTCCCCCCTCTTCCCTACCCCTTCCCTTCCATGTCCCCTCTCCCTTCCCTTTTCTTCCCATCTAGCTGATCCCCTCCTAACTAACCACCTCCCCGCCCCCGTCCCGGAACAAAAAATACCCCTTGGCACTAACATGTCATTTGCTCCCATCCCATTGCTCACTCTGCTGGTGTGTTCTACCCCTTCCCTCACCCTGGGTCTGTCTGGTCTATTTCAACTGTTCGCTCTTCATGGCATGGATTATCAACTTCTCTGTTTGTACCGCACCTAGCACAATAGGGCCCCGTTCTTGGCTGGTCCTTAGGCCCTACCACAATAAACATAATGATGATGAGGATTATTAATGATAACAATATAGTTCTATCAGTACAAAAACCATATCGGCCTGACTGTTTGCAGGATTGGGGCTTGAGGTGCTGGTCTTTGTACATCTAGGAGATGGAAATAGGCCCTAAGCAATTCTGGAATGCAAACAGCAGCTGGGTGGACAAAACTTTGGCTCAGATTCTCCAGAAAAGAATAGCAAACCAAACCAAACTAAAAACAATGACAAATATTCAATCCATATAGGCCGTGATTTAAAATATATAAAAAAATAATAATACTGCTAGCCAGAGATGTAAAATAAATAACTGAAAAAAATACAAAGTGGCCTGGGGATTAGGAAAAGGAAAATGATTAAAAAAAATCAATAAGCAGAAAATCTATCTATCTATATACACACACACACACACAGATACAGAAAGAGAGGGGGGGCAGGAGTTTAAATGAAGAAAAATAGAAAAGTTTTTAAAATTACAAAATTAATGGAAAATGGTTTAATAAAAATATAAAAAGAAAATAGAAATGGAGTGCTTTTGTTTAGTTTTTTTTTTAAACATAAAGATAAAATAAAGAATAAAAACACATGAACTGGTAGGAGCAACTTGTTCATTTCACTATGCCCTGCTCCATCAGAGAATCATAAGACTGGAAGGGACCTCGAGAGGTCATCTAGTCCAGTTCCCTGCACTAATGGCAGGACTAAGTATTATCTAAATCATTCCTGACAGGTGTTTGTCTAACCTGCTCTTAAAAATCTCCAATGATGGAGATTCCACAACCTCCCTAGGCAATTTATTCCGGTGCTTAACCACTCTGACAGTTAGGAAGTTTTCCCGAATGTCCAACCTAAACCTCCCTTGCTGCAATTTAAGCCCATTGCTTCTTGTCCTATCCTCAGTGGTTAAGAACAATTTTTCTCCCTCCTCCTTGTAACAGTCTTTTATGTACCTGAAAACCTATGTCCCCCCTCTGTCTTCTCTTTTCCAGATTAAACAAACCCAATTTTTTCCAATCTTTCCTCATAGGTCATGTTTTCTAGATCTTTAATCATTTTTGTAGTTCTTCTCTGGACTTTCTCCAATTTGTCCACATCTTTCCTGAAATGTGGTGCCCAGAACTGGACACAATACTCCAGTTGAGGCCTAATCAGCGTTAGAGTTACTTCTCATGTCTTGCTTACAATACTCCTGATAATACATCTCAGAATGATGGGTTTGCTTTTTTTGCAACAGTGTTACACGGTTGACTCATATTTAGCTTATGGTCCACTATTATCCCCAGATCTCTTTCCGCAGTACTCCTTCCTAGACAGTCATTTACCATTTTGTATGTGTGCAACTAATTGTTCCTTCCTAAATGGAGTACTTTGCATTTGTCCTTATTGAATTTCATCCAATTTATTTCAGACCATTTGTCCAGATCATTTTGAATTTTATATCCTATCCTCCAAAGCACTTGCAACCCCTCCCAGCTTGGTATCATTTGCAAACTTTATAAGTGTAGTCTCTATGCCATTATCTAAATCTTTGATGAAGATATTGAACAGAACCAGACCCAGAACTGATCCCTGCAGGACCCCACTTGTTATACCATTTCAGCATGTGAACCACTGATAAC